TGAAATTGAAAATAATATAAAATGTCTATCTTTTGAATCTAAAGTTTCCTTTAATTTCTTTGCTTTCTCACATCGCTTGGATAAAGGTTTAAATGAAAATCCATGAGCTATATCTTGCATAGCTTATATGGAAAATACCATGTTGAAGATGGTGTGTCTTAAGGTTTGACACCATTCTTTTCTTTTCTTCTGCAGTGCCGTCGGTTTATTGTATTTCATTCGACGCGGAAAGCAGTGCTTGGATTTCACCGCCACCGTTCATTTTTTTCACCTGTTGGGCTGCTGGATTTACAACGGATACTTTCCAACAGCTTTGACCTGGTGGCTTGTACATACTGTGTGCACAGCACTCATGGCTGTGATTGGGGAATACCTCTGTATGAGGACAGAACTGAAAGAAATCCCATTAAATTCAGCCCCCAAATCCAGTGTATAGGCCGTCAGGGGGCCTGTGTTTCTCCATCAGTATCAGCATCTTGGTGCTAGTTTGTAAAACGTGGAAATGCAACCGAAGAAATCCAGAGGGCCTTAAATATATTAGCTGGGAGACTGACATTTGCAATACTTTGATAGGCCAAGATGAATATAGTTTTTACATAACTCATTTGTATTACTATGCAGACATGACCAATTTGCCAAAGTGATCAGACTCGAGTGTTGGATAAAATCCATAAAAGACTTGGGAAGAGGACTGATTTTGAGAGGCGTGCAGTGAGTTGTGATGATCACAGTTTCCCTTCTCTATAGTGTGAACATCACTTGACTAGAGAACTCCAACAATTGCACAATGGACACTTTGTTCCCTTTTATCCTTCATATACCTGATACTTGTTTTACTTCCACTTTTTGAATTAAAGGATCAAGGAGATGAAACAATGCAGAAAGGCACAGTACTGTGACTCACTTGGCTGCTCAGATTCCAGAAAGCTTATTAACAACAAAGAGTAATGTGACTGTATTTATTGGACTGAAAAAAATTACTATTTTATTTAATAAAGATTTCAACTTTCCATTGAAGTTTTATAATGTATTCATCGGGCTGGATTGTATTACTGATATGACTATGAAATGAGAAAGTCATCAGTTGGTAATACAATTTAGAAAACCATGGCCTAGACAGTTTTAAACTACTGGCTTCAAAAAGGTGAACAAGGACTAACCACTCTTGTGCATAATGTGTGGCATAGAGAGGTAACTGCCCCTGGTCACATACTTCGAGACTGGAGATGTTTCAAATAAGTCCTCTTGTTTACTGCAATGAATGTTTTATCTTGAAGATTCACTGTTCATAACCAAGGAAATGTGCAAGGTGTTGTGCAGGGCACAAAAAGCAGGATGGTTAATTCTTTTTGTAACTGCTACTACTGTCAAACTTGTTTTGCATATAATTGTAATTGTCTTCTTAGAATGGAACCTGAGTAAACTCCAGAGCTCATATTGACTTCCTGTGAAAAGAAAGGATGTGAATGGAAGGTTCATCTATAATGCACCCCAGGGTAGCTGTACTTGTTATTATTTGTTTAAAAATAATAATATTACTTTATATATATATATATATCCCAGAGTTTTCCTTTTTTACATAAATGTTTGGGAATGCTAATAATTTGTATCGGTTACAGTTGGGAAGCTAATGCTTATAATGATTAAGGTGAATAATCTTGGAAAATGAATTTTATCAACCATCTCTCAAAGTACTCAGATGGGATCCATTGATAACATATAAAAGAAAGTTCTGCCAAAATAGCATGTTCTGGTCCACATACTTAAATATAGATTTGGGCAGAAGGAATATCTTTCCTTGCACCATTGCTGTAGTTGGGAAATATAGGTGAGTCACACTGCCTTCATCCAATGTTAACATATTGTACTGTACAGTATGCTTGTTGAATTATAGCTGAGATAATATCACTTCTTCCAGAAGATGGCACTGCTTTCTTTTGAGACAGCAGTGTAAGCTACTGCAATTCCTGTTGTAAGCTAAGGTATTAAGCAATCTGTCTGCAGTATTTATGTGTATGAGCACGTGTGTGCTCAAGGCATTCGTTTTCCTTTGGGAGTATCATAATAGCATACCTAACACAGTAAAGGAGATTTTCAGCTATTTCAATGAATCTCTGTAGACTAACATTGACTAAAGACTAGAATCTAATTAGGCAAACAGTGAAAATCTAAGTGCCAAGTGTTTCCATCCCCATTATTTAAGGTCTATTTAGCAGATGTTAGCAGGGATTCACTTGTCCTTCCTTGATGTGATATTAATGATATGCTTTGAAGAAAAACTAGGGTGCACATTTATTTATAGTCGACTATGTTTGGAATTCAGGGACGTGCTTAAATAAGGCAAAGTGAAGAAGTAGTTAAAAAGAAATGGCTTTGTTTGCAACTTATTCGACCCCCACCTACCTTTCCATACATTGACAGAATTCACAAGCAAAACATGAATCATAAGGCCAAGGAAACCTGGAAAATTAAGCAAAATAGTGACTTTCTGGTAACGATGACAATAATTAGTTTCTGCTAATCAAATTATTTCTTGATTGCTGACAAGTCTTCAGATCACGAAAAGCATACCTGTGTGTGTGGACATCACCTGATGGACTAAGCAGAAAGAAAATCAATTGTATTATTGACACAAGAAGATTTAGTTAAGTGCGAGACTGATTGAAGATCACAAACTGATCGTATACACGATGTAAGTCAATGTCCATGTGATTTTGAGCATATATCCATCATTTTCAAGAATAATATCAATAATTTCTTCAAGATCCTGGTTCTTATTGACAGGCAACCAGAGGAACAATAGAATGAAGTCAAAGAGGTTGTTAAAGATTGATGTCAGAAGTTCTTTAACTCAGAAGGAAATATAATCCTTAAATTAGTATAGTAAGGGACACTAATGTACAGATAGCAAAAGTTGTCCTCAACACACAACTATAATTGGGACTGGAGTGTGGTTGTAAGTCATTGTAGTTATAAATTGAGGCATCCACATGACAGGACACAATTTTTAATGGTTTTTACTGTGGCCATTAAGTGGATCATGTGTTCATAACTACGAAGCCACTCTAACTTTGAACAGTCATTAAACAATTGGTCATAAATCGAAGATTACCTGTAATGATTCAAAGAAGATCAAACAAAAACAGAAGTAATATACTGACATTCTGTACAGCGTGATGTTAATATCCAAGATACCTTAGAAGATTTCACCTATTTACATGAATGTCAAATACTAAAAAAACAAGTTTGATCAACACTCCAGTAATTATCAAGCCAGAAGGCTACGAGAATTGATGAAAAAGCTACGGAAATATAGCAAGCAACAGAAGAAGGATCGGTAAAGGTTCTAACCAACCATGCCATCAAATCTGGGAAGAAATCAGTCTAAATACCAATACTAAACAAAGGCAACTTAACATTAATGGTGGCAATTTAAGGTTGCTTTGTATATTCAGTACAAATTAGAGAGGCGGAATTGGAAAGTAAGAGAAATTATGAGAATACGTTGAAAATAGCTGCAACACATGGCATATGTATAGCATAGAGCAGAAGCGTCAAACTCGATTTCGTTGCGGGCCGCATTAGGGTTGTGTTTGACTTTGGGGGGGGCAGAGTGGGCGTGACCAGGGGGCATGGCCAACTCGGCATAACTCGTGTTGGAGGTGCCTGTGGTAGCCCAAGCGCTCTGCTAGTGAAAACAGGCTCCTGAGCTCCATCTCCAGCTGCAATGGCCTCTTGCAACCTCCTGCCAGCACAAGCGGAGCTCAGGAGGGTTGCACATGACCCTCCTGAGCTCTGTTTGCACTGGCAGAAGCACTGCGGGCCAGTCCTTCGCTGTTTCCAGGGCCAGATCTAAGCACTCCACGGACTGCATCCGGCCCCAAGGCCTTGACTTTTGACACCCCTGGCATAGTTATACAAGAATTCATATGGACTTTAGAGGAGGGGTAAGGAATGTAGGGAACTTCCAAAGTTGAACTGCAATTCCCATGAGCCTCAACCAGAATAGGCAGCTATCAAAAATATAGCCAGAGAAGCAATGAACAAGGCAATTCCATGTCTCCACTGCTATTTTACAGCCATGGTCATACTTCATTCAAGTGATCAACCTGCAATACAAAAGTTTTCCTTTAAAAAAATTGCAAGAATGTTTACTTCTCACTGAATTATTTCTTTCCATTTCAGAAATATTTACTATACATGACTGTATTTTGCGACATCCATGGGAAAATCAGGGAGGAGGAAAAACTAGTTGTCGGGAATGGAGGAAAAAGGGTATCACAGCATTATTCCTTGCAAACATGTAGATGGGTTCAGAACTTCAGATGTTACTCCTTAAGTTATCTCAGAGTTTCGGTCAATCTTCTTTAATTCTCAAGTCAAATACAACATAAACTAATCTAAACTAATCATTCCTTCAAACACCTCTATAACAAGTCAATCATCAGTCTGTAATCTTTCGACATTTTGGAGAGCTCATTTCAGGTAATGAAACCAGCATGTTCTGCTGAGAGAATCCAGTTATTTTAAAAGCTCATACTACCCTCTTGAGTTCCCCAACATTTTATTTCCTAAAACCGCAAATCTATTAATTACAGAAGTTACATCTATATACAAAAAGAAAGTTGCTACAACGTTCTTTAAATGGAGAAATTAGTACAACAGTTGGAATGAAAGGCTTACCTAATTAGCAGATCAAGATACAAAATCTAGCAACAGCATTCCACTCCTGCCACAGTTTCCTATTCAAGCTGTATTTTAGTAATTTAATTTTGAGATCCTTAAAGCATGCACAACTTTTGATTGTCAAAATTCAATTGGAACACTTGCCATATTTACAACTGATCTCACTGGAAAAAATAAATACTAGAAAATTCTGCTACCACAATCAAAAAAATAACTAAAAAAGAAAAAAATGCCCCAAACAATATTTTCCAAATATTAAGGGGAGAGAAAGCATATATTCATTTGTACAAAATCACAGAGCTGTTGCTTTGGTTTCATAAATTGAGCCAAATGAGCATCAGTGTGATGCCTAATAGAAAAAGGGTTGGGACCTGGGATGAGGGTAAATTCTGGTAGTTACTGGAGATGCAGAGTTCAAAAAGATTGCCTTCAAATTTGATTTTTCTAGATTCCTTTTTCAATTTCTCCCAGACAGTCACCATCTCCTTCTGGCATACCCAAAGAGTAGCCATCGCACAATTATGAAATTCATTCCAATATCTGCAAAAGAAAAAGGAAACAATAAGTTACTTACCACCAATAGAAGAGAATATTTATGGCTTGGGGTTGAACTGTGGGGTCCTTGGTGCTCTCTGAGATCCCATCAAGTGCAGAGAGCACTAAAGACTCCACAGTTCTTTGCCACAAAAGTCACAGATAGACATGGGCCATCTATGAAGAACATAACCTGTCCCAGCATCATAATATCTGGTTAATTGGTCCATGCATTTATGATCTTCTTTAGTTCTTTTTTAAATAAATTGCCTGGTTTAATTCTATCCATTATAGAAAGTCAACTTTGAAAAACAAAGAAACCTATCCTCACACAATTACTATAATTAATATATAGCTCCTCTGTACAGAATCTTTTCCAGGTCACAGAAGGATACTGTTCCAAGTATGCAGCAGGATCTCCACAATAATCCTAATGGAGTATTTAACACTATGCAGCTGAAAAGTGAAATATTAGTGCCTGCCATACAAGACCATACATGTTTATCTAGTCAAGAATGGGAAATTTTCTAATGATTTGGGGTGGGGGGGGGGGCGCATTATAGGGAACTCCAAACAGGCAGCTAAATAAGGAGAATCCCACACATTGATGCAATTGCTATTTTCTGAGAGTATAATTTTTTTAGACTGAGCATTTTTCCATATCTATTCATCTGAAGCCTATTTTAAAGCTTCAGAAACACTTTTTGTAACCTTCCTGCGGCCTGCCTGGAAATTCCAAGACATATTTCCACTTATTTTTTACTGTTTGAGTCAGGCAAGATTATAGGGCAGCAATGAAGGGTTTCAGAGGTAACTCTTCATCTATGTATTTTTCAAACTTCAGATGGGTAGACTTCAACTCCCAGTCCATCCATCTTAAAGTTGCCAAATTTTAAAACTTCTGATTTACGTGGATGCAGACCTTCAAAATCCTTTTTTCCCCTTCCCTTGTTTGTTTACCAAGATTAGAACTAAGAGTTTGGTTTCTAGTCTAATCCTTTAACTGCTACACCAAACTGATGATATATTTACAATCTTATATTGTGTGTTCATATAGTGTGCTTTCATGTATCATGCTTTTATAGTGTGCTAAAGCAGCCTTAGTGAAACGGTTTTTGTCCAGAAGTATTGTGTTAAAACTGAGAACAAAAAACTGAGAACAAAAAATCCCACTTTAAACCACTAATATGGCTATTTTAAGAGAAATGTTTATCTAAACAACCCACCACTATATATTCTTAGTACATTCTACATCAATGTAATGTTTTCTCCATTTACTTTTATTTTGTACATTGAAATCCATAGCATAATAAGAAACCATTATAAATTGACAAAATAGCTTTTGCCAACTTGCATGAAAAAATATTAAAGCATTGGATGATTTCAAATATTAAATTATCCTTCGGAGGGAGCTTCCACCGTGTGGTGGTGCCCAGGGCAACTGCTTTCTCCTTAAAAAAAAAAAATCCCTGAAATCACACGAAAGAGCCTCTAGTTGGCTGCCAACTGTCAAGAACTCATTAAATAGAAGAAATGCAGTAGAAGAAATCTTCTGAGACAATAATAAGAGATTGGTGCAAAACAAGGTAAACTCTGTTTTGATTTTCTCTGGTTATTTCCTCCTAATCCTGCAGCAATGTGTGTGTGTGTGTGTTCTGTACTGTACATTTGCCTTCCGATCGGGAATATAACAGTGTGTGTGTGTGTTAGAGTAAGGGGACACAATCCAGTGTGAAAGCAGGTACCTGGTTCCATATTAAAAACAAAAACAAAAAGAAAGGAGGAGTAACTAGTAAGGAGAGAGGACACCAAATCAGAATTCTCTCTTTTCACTTTTCCACTTTCAATTGGATAATTGAAATTTCACAATGCCTGGTTTTTAGAGACTTTATTTGTTTGGGAATGAAATTATGTCACATAATTTGTCAGTTCTCTGTCAGTTCTAGATTTTGGGGGATGTTGCACAATTCAATCCCCCCCCCAAAGGCAAATAAACCAAACCAAAACAACCCTAATGCTATTATAGATCATTTTCCAAAGCATTCATTCTAATCATATCTGTCACCAATGAGCCTTTTCTTCTTGTAGACAGCAGAAAAGTAGAAGCTTCCTCAGAAAAGGTGCACAACAGTACTGTAGAAGGAAGACTAAGATGGTTGCCTTTGTCTGATTCAAGTCTTGTATCGCAACAATAGGGACTTTGTTTATTTTGTGCTAGAACCCCTCAGGAACCCAAATTGTTCCTGATGCATAGGTACTAGGAAGATTTATGAGGTTTGCACAACAGAGTGCTTCCTCACAAAAAAAGGGGGGAAAGTTAGAAAAATATGACATGGGAACAGGAAAATGCCAAATAGCCTCCCCATCCACACAGCAAATGTGCTGTCAAATCTGTGACTAATATAACATGGCTATAAAAAGACAAACTTTTCAGTAAAGTATCCATGTATTATGTAATGATTGCCTTAAACCCCATCCTCTAATACTGGCAAATACTCAGGGTGGACAACAAAATGTATGAAAAACAAACACAGAGTATAAAAAGGTTTAAAACAAATTAAAATTATCCCATATCATCTATATTAAAATCACTGAACAATTAGGAACCTGGCAAAAGGATTAACATTTTTTCTTAAATGCTGAGAGACTGATGACAAATATAATTCCTGAACAACAGCATCCTATCAAGTGGGAGCCAAACGAGCAGAACTTCCCTGTCAGGGACCAGAAAAACAATCTAATAGGGGCATTTTCAAAAGGACTTTTCCTGCATGCCAGGTTTGGAGAATTGTACCCTAAGTTATCTGGACTTTCACAGCCAAAACCAACATCTTAAATCATGCTTGGCAAGTAACTGGCAGTACTGCAAATCTTTCAAACTGGGAACTATGATTCCTGTCCCTTGCATCAGCCTAACTATACGTTTTACATCAAGCCGTATTCTGTAATAACTCTGTTCATTTTTTCTGCCTGTGGGGAAAAAATTATTACATTTTTCATCTTCACTTTTTCTCAAGGTTGCACATTGTCATATTTTCATTGTTCATGTGCGTAAAAGTGCTCCTTCAGCACTGAATCAAGAACCACTTTCATTTTTCAATGGTTTTTTACTTAAGCTTCATTATCAGACTATTGGTTTATTTTCCATTACTTTCTGTTTTGCATTTCTTCACATTTTGAGTATGCAAACAGGCCTAATACCAGCACACGTTTAAGTTTGAAGATTCTTCTGGTAACTGATTTTTCTTTTCTTTTAAAAAAAAATTGAAGTGAGTTTTAGAAAATCTTGTTCTGTTGTGTGATAGATGAGGAAAAAACAATAGCTTTGGCATCTTTTGGGGATCTGTTAGCCCCCAGAGGTAATGTAAACTAAGAAACCAATGCCACATAGGTCTGGACTGTTTTTATTTTAACAGATTTAGTACTGTTATAGAATCTTCCAAGTCTGAATGTACTTTTCCCCTCCCTCATTTTGTCTTTGTGTGAACTAAGGAGAGACTTGCCTGAGACATTTTTCTCAAGTTATTATTTTTGGCCCAGGAACCATTAATAAGATATTGACTCTTCCTCCTGTCCTTCTCTACTCTCAATACTCAATCTGAAGGAGGTGTATCTAGCTTTCAATACCCCACTTTAGCTGCAATGGTGGGCTCATAAGCATCTTCACTGCCATTGTCTTTCATGATAAACACAGCTAATTTTGTGCAGAGGCTACAAAGTGACTGATGCATTGTAAAACATCCAGTTCAAATCTTCTGTGAATTCATGCTGACCTTGTATAAATCTTTCCCACCCTCCCTATTGAAAAAAAAAAGGACTGGGGACTGAATGATGTGGCAGGATTGTTGGGAGCAACAAAATAATACATTTAAAGTGCTTTTAATATTCGAAAGCACTGTGCAATCTTAACTTCTGTTCCTCTTGGTCACAGACTCTGCTTCTTTTGCATTATGCTAACTTACTGTAGTGCACACAGCAAAGCTAGCAGCTCATGATGCCACAAGAGGTTCTGTTTTCCTGCCAGCTTGTTACAGAGCCTAACAATGAGTAGGGCTGAGAGGGAGTGAGTAGGGCTGAGAGTAGGGCTGAGAGGGAGTGACTGACCCACCATCACTCAGCTGACATCCATGTTTAAGAAAGGACATGAATCTCCCCAGCCTTAATCCAACATCTTAACCACTACAACAGGCTGGCTCTTTTGAAAGTGTTATACAGATAGTCCTCGACTTACAGTAGTTTGTTTAGTGACTGCTTGAAGTTATAACGGCTCTTTAAAAAGGTGACTTATGATCATTTTTCACACTTATATTTGCAGCATCCCTATGGTCACGTGATCAAAATTCAAATGCTTGGCAACTGACTCATATTTTTGATAGTTGCAGTGTTCTGGGGTCCTGTGATTAGCTTTGGCGACCTTCTGACAAGCCAAATCAATGGCAATAGCACAGACATATACACCACTTTACAGTATTTACAGCCCTCTCTAAGCGGTTTACAGAGTCAGCCTATTTCCCCCAACAATTTGGGTCCTCATTTTATCCACCTCGGAAGGACGGAAGGCTACTGAGTCAACCTCGAGCCTGGTGGGATTCGATCTGCCAAATTGCAGGCAGCTGGTAGCCAGCAGAAGTAGCTTGCAGTACTGCACTCTAACCACTGCGCCACTGAGGCTCAGTAGGGGAACTCAGATTCACTTAATAACTTTGTTACTAACTTAATAACTGCAGTGCTTCTCTTAAGAACCGAGGCAAGAAAAGTCATAAAATGGGGCAACATTCCCTTAACAAATGTCTCACTGAGCAGCAACAGAAATGGTGGGTTCAATTGTGATCATAAGTCAAGGAGTATACAGTAATCATCATCATCATCATCATCATCATCAATCATCATCATCATCATCACTATCTAGTACTATGATTCCACATCCAGTAATGTTCTTTACATCGGATTCCCTTCTTCTGTCCTCTACCAGGTGCTTATTTTTCCTTTATTAGTCCATTTTATTACATGAAAAATGTCTTTGCCCTCTTCTATCTGGTCTTTTTATCAGCTTCTAAACCAGAGGTCTCCAAACTTGGCAACCTTAAGACTTGTGGACTTCAACTCCCAGAATTCTGGGAGTTGAAGTCCACATCTTAAAGTTGCCAAGTTTGGGGAGCCGTGTTCTAAACTAATTTATTGTGGTTTCTACATTCCGCATCTCAATAGTTCTTCTTGCACAGTTTTGACAGGAAGGTGCTTCTCCAGAACTTCTGGCTTTTTCCTTAATTGTTTTGTACATTTCCTAGTTTATCTATAGGTTTGCTCTGTCTGTGTTTCACCCTTGGAACCTTCAATGATTTGCATTTATCTCTACAATTCCTTTATTTCTTCCCATTCTCATGTCTGCTTATAATCATTCTCTGCTCAGATTTGCTGCAAGCTAAATTCCCAACATCTTGACGCTTTTGCTATTTTACTGTCTTCTTCTTGCACTTGATTAGATAAACAAACAGCTGTGTCTTTATTTCCCTCAGTCCACTGGCCGTGAAGCTGCCCAAGGTGGCAAACCAAGCCTGGCAAAGAACAGAGGTGATAGCAAAAATACTACCATTACGATTAATATTGGTAGTTAGAAAGTGCATAGTTTAAAGTCAAAGGCCATTGCAGACCCAGGAAATACAACAAGCACCACCAAATAAATGATAGAGCTATATTAATTGAGGCTTTGAAGGTTGTTGGATTAAAGCACGGGTCTCCAAACTTGGCAACTTTAAGATTTGAGGACTTCACCTCCCAGAATTCCTCAGCTAGTCATGCTGGCTGGGCAATTCTGGGAGTTGAAGTCTACAAGTCTTAAAGTTGCCAAGTTTGGAGAGTCCTGGATTAAAGTGAGTGGAGAAATTATGGAAGCTAAAGGATGAACTCCATCCCAGCACTATAACCATAACTCCGTATCATCATCCCCTTATAGTTGCCTTAAATCAAAGAATTGGATCCCAGAAAAATCTAATCATATAATACCCAGGATTGAAGGACACTGATAGGCTGAAAGCCACCATACTGAATTGGTAGCCAACCAAAACTGCTCAGGTTCAAATTGGTTTCCCAGAAGCAGGTATCCTAAAATTCTAATATGGTACCCCATTCTTTACTTGAAAGCAAATGCATGTTTCATAAGAGGCAACTGAACTGGCTGTGCCTTTGCTGTCTACAAAATGACATTTCTAATTGTGTTTAGAATCTATGGTAGTTTTGTAATGTGTCAATAATGGACAGCAAGCACTTCTCAACAATGAAGGATTTGTTCTCTTGTATTGGTCCTAACTTCAATTAGCCTTTTTCTTTCAATTGATGGTTGTCTTTGAGGAAGTGCTTATGTTAGCACTTCCTATGATAAAACGTAGTAAATCCAAGCCAGGTTCAAAAGAAAGTTCCCTTCCATTATTGTGGTTCCTTTGGCTACGCAGAACCATTTTCTATGCTGGCCAACTGATAAGAGACATGAGATCAATTACAGCACTTACTATGAGAGTGGAAACCTTCACTTTTTCCACTAGTATTTGGAGAGTATTCAGTGGAAACATTCACAGAGGAGAAAAGGGAAGGGGATACCAGTCATCCTGCTTTAGAAGGCAGGCAGGACGAGAAGCAATGGATGGAAGCTAATCAAGGAGAGAACCAACCTAGAACTAAGGAGAAAATTTCCTGACAGTTAGAACAATTAATCAGTGGAACAACATGCCTCCAGAAGTTGTGAACGCTCCAACACTGGAAGTTTTTAAGAAGAGATTGGACTGTCATTTGTCAGAAATGCTATAGGGCTTCCTGTTTTAGCAGGGGGTTGGACTAGAAGATCTCCAAGGTCCCTTCCAACTCTGTTATTCTTTTATTCTCAATTGACAACTATATTCAAGGTATGCATCATGATAGGATGTTCCTACAGTACAGTTAAGAAGTTTGCTGCTCACCCACAAACAACCTGCAATCCTTGCAGCAGACTCTGGTTCACTTTGTCTTCTTCCGCTTCTTCTTCATATCTAGCCATGTTCTCTCCTAATTTTAAGATGCAGCCAGAGAAATCCTGATAAATATTTTCACACTGAGTTTCTGCCGTCAGTAGCTTGAGCAAGTGCCCTGCAAATGGAAAGGGGGGTTAATGTAGCATCTAACCGCACACCTCTTTTTCCAGGCACTTCATCTAAAGACCAAGAGCAATTTCCCTTAAATAAGAAGCATAAAATATATGTGTGCAATGCACGCATGCACGCACATACACACACACACAATAAATGGCCATCATATGCAAGAGGCGGAACCAAAATTAAGTACTAAGTAGGATTCTGCTCCAGACATTGCGTTAAGCCATAATGTCATTATCATATCATTTGAAAGTCACAGTGCATGGTTTGTGTTACACAAACCAAGCCAGTTGTGGGATTTATTCAATAAGCCATACTTTAACAAACTATAGCATGGCATAGTAAGACACAGTTTGCTCGACAAGATCAGGGTTAGGGATTTTGTCCTGGAATACATGGTTTCCAAAGGAGGGACTAAATCATGAGCTGAGCCAGTATGATCTCTTGTAAACTGCCCTCTTTTACAAGGCTATTTAAAACGTAAAATGGAAAAAGAGATGAGTTTGGTACTTAAAAAGAAAAACCAGCCACGAAGAATAGAACGAATCAGGAAATGACCTGAAAAGTAAACTTGCTTCATTCTGAATAGTCGCTGTCTCTGCTTTCGGAAAGTCTCACCAATTTAACTAAATTCTGAAAGTGTTCCTTGGAAAGTTTTCCTTGGAAATGAAGCCGTGGATTTAAATAAGTATGTAGTTATAAGTTGTCCATCACTAACCCTATCCTGAGCTCTTCTAGCATCTTATCAATTTCAGGAAGTTAACAGAGGGACGTTTCCCGTAAACCTTCTAACGATGCAGAGAAAGAGGAATTAGCATCCATTCTTGCCTCGTAAACTGTCTTAACAAATCCGAATTTCTTTTTAAGTTCCCTTGATCCTTTCGCCCCCACCACGTACCCAACCAGAGGATGCCGTTCCCGCTGGACCGGCGCCCGCGATCGGGACGAGATTCGGGCTTACCCAGCGTGATGAGTAGCAGCAGCACCGCGCCGGGTCGGAGTGCCATGGTCGCCGCTGTGGCTGCCTGGTTTAGGGGCTCCGGGTAAACTGGGTCGCGGCCAGTGGCAGCCCTCCCATTCCTCTTCCCTGGGGAGGAGGACCCGAGGGGCTTCTCGATCGAGAAACACGAGGCGGGGATTCCCCTTCGGAGCGCGCTTGCTCTGCCTCTCTCTGTCCCGTGTCTCTCGCTCAGGTGCCGAGGGCAAGGCAGACCTTGGCCAGGTGCTTGACGGAAGAGCCACGCGAGACGGACCCGGCGGGGGACGTCGCTGGCCGAAGGAGGCAGGGAGGAAAAAAAGAGGGACAGGGCAGAAGAAGCCCCCTTCCAAGGAACCCCAACTGAGTCCATTCCGGTCGGCTCCAGCCACGTAATCTTCACCCCAAGTCCTGGCGCAGGTTCTGAAAAAGGTTGGAGATCTGGAGCAGTTATGATATCAACTCCCGTGACATCCATTAGGTCCAGCCAATCATCAGGGAACGTGGGAATGACAGTCAGTCCTCCACTTAGGATGGCAACTGAACCCAACATCAGAGGTGGGATTCAGCAGGTTCTGGCCAGTTCTGGAGAACCGGTAGTGGGCATTTTGGGTAGTTTGGAGAACTGGCAAATACCACCTCTGACTGGCCCCGCCCCCACCTATTCTCTGCCTCCCAAGTCCCAGCTGATCGGATGGGTCTTCTTTGGTTGCCCTGCAGAGGAGAACGGAGCTGGAAAGCAGGTTAGTGGGGTGGGGAGGGAATGGGGATTTTACAATATCCTTCCACTGCCACGCCCATCAAGCCACGCCCACAGAACCGGCAGTAAAAAAAAATTGAATCCCACCACTGCCCAACATGTCTGTTGCTAAGTGAAACATTGGTAAAGTGACTTTTGCCCCATTTTGCTCTGCCGTTGTTAAGTGAATCATTGCAGTTGTTTTAAGTTAATATCATGGCTGTTAAGCAAATCGGACTTTCCCATTGACTGATCAGAAGGTTACAAAAGGGAATCACGTGACCACGAGACAATGCAACAGCCATAAATATGAACCATTTACAAAGCATCTGAATCACACGACCATGGGGATGCTACCACGTTGTAACTGTGAAAAACAGTCACTTTTTTCAGTGCTGTTGTAACTTTGAATAGTCACTAAATCAAGGGTTTTCAAACTTGGCAGGTTTAAGACTTGTGGACTTCAACTCCCAGAATTCCTGAGCTAACATGAATGGAAGAGGAATTCTGGGAGTTGAAGTCCACAACTCTTAAAGCTGTCAAGTTTGAAGAGCCCTGCACTAAATGATCTGTCAAGGACTACCTGTATAATCCCAAACATCCAAAGAACACCATTTTAGAATTATTTCTACCTGGTATGCTTTGGATGTGTCTAAGGCAGGACTAGAACTCACAGCCTCCAGGTTTCTAGACTGTACCAAACTGGTCCTCATAATATGCTATTAAAATCCCACAAAAGCTTAGAGATGTCAGCATTCCTACCCAATGCTAAAATATTATTGGCTCGCTGTTGCACAAATAGAGGCAATTGGGATTAATCACTAAATCCTGATTCAGTTAAAGCTGCTGGTGTATTAGACTCTTTCCTGGCCAACTGACAACCCTGTTCTGGCATATATATTTTTTTGAGGGAAGTGCTTAAGAGTTCACTTTAGCCTCTCCAGTATAATTTCTGTTACATGTAAATGATGCTGAGGCAGAAGAGAAACCATTTGTTTCTACATTCCAGCTGGTGCCATGATTACATTGCACAAGGCAGCCATGCCAGAACACTAAAGCTTATTGTGTGTAAATATCCTAAAATGTTGGCCCATGGAGGATCCTGAGGTCATTTAGTCATGAGAGGATCTTAGAGAGCAGACATATTTATTCTGTATACTCACTGATGAGTCCTAACCCTATTTAATATGTAAACCATATTACTTCTTCAGATCAAGGAAGTTATCTTTCAAAACCAGAATACTAAGAGAAATGTGTTTTCATAGAACGAGAGAGTTGGAGCCCATCCCTCTCTTAAGCCATGTGAGCAGATGGCTATTCAACCTTCGTTTGAAGGAGAGATCACCCCTTCTCTTGAACATGCTATTCCATTGGCTAATGGTCAATCAGGAAGTTCCTCCTTATATATAGTTTTCCTTGCAGTTTTAATCCAATGGTTCTGGTCCTTGCCCTCTTAGGCATTAAGGAATGGCCTCCTTCTGTGTCACAGTGTCACAGTCCTTCAAGTATTTGAACATTATCGTGTGTTTCTCTTCAGTCATCTCTTCTGTAGTCCAAATATATAAGAGCTGTGGTGCAGAGGTGATATTCAGCAGGTTCTGACCAGTTCTGGAGAACCAGTAGTGGAAATTTTAAGTAGTTCAGAGAACCACCAAATGCCACTCTGACTGGAGATTTTGCAATACCCTTCCCCTGCCACGCCCACCAAGCCACGCCCACAGAACTGGTAGTAAAAAAATTTGAATCCCACCACTGCCATGGTGGCGCAGTGGTTAGAATGCAGAATTGCAGGCTTACTCTGCCCATTGCCAGGAGTTCAATCCTGACCAGCTCAAGGTCAACTCAGCCTTCCATCCCTCCAAAGTTGGTAAAATGAGGACCCAGATGGTTGGGGGCAATAGGCTGACTCTGTAAACTGCTTAGAGAGGGCTGCAGTGGTATATAAGTCTAATTACTATTGCTATATCAGATTTTTTTTAACTGTCACTCATAGGGTTTAGTTTTCAGACATCTTGTTAGGGTTTGAGGATTTAACCCCTAGCAGAGTATTGCAGCAGTAGTCAAGCCAGGCAGCCAAAGGAGAGCGGAAGGGCCCCAGAGTATACACACACTGAATACAAACACTGTTTGTAGTTTAAATAGTTTTTAATCCAGTTAGAGTTTAAGCATTGTCATTCAGTCCATTAAGTCATTCACAGTATTTCCATCCAGTAAGACTCACTAGTATAGTCCAAGTTAAGAGTCCTTGCAATATCTTTATCAGCCGATAAAGATATCTTCTCCTCCTCCGGTTTCACTCTCCAGAGAAACAAACGCTGGATATTCAGCAAACAGTAGCAAACAATAACAGTTCAGTCACAGGCACTCACAGTCAGTAATCTCAGTTAGTCGCAGCAAGACACAGTAACAGTTACAGCCAGTTACAGACAGTAAACTCACAGTCAGTAATCTCAGTTAGTCGAAGCAGCACACAGTTACAGTAACAGACAGTAAACTCACAGTAAGCTTTCCAGCTTCTAATGCTTCCTTATATTGTAACTTCTAACCGCACCCTTAATCGGCTAATT